TTAGGAAGCGAAAGTAGAACCAAATAAATGGCTTGCTCCCTTAGGAAAACGACACCCATTCTATCCAATTTGTTAACGTGCGACTTCATTTCCAGAACATGCGCACACACAGATTTTCCATCTTGATGTCTACATGCCAATAGGGCTTGAGTAGTTTCGTATCTTTCAAATCGAGGATAACGTGACATGGGGAGAGTCACTGGAGGAGGAGGAGGAAGAGTTGGAGAAACATGACGTCCAATTCCACCATTTCCCGAAGAAGAGAAAACATTTTCACCTTGATCTGAAAGTGGAAGATCATCGTTTGGAGGAAGAGGAAAACCATTTCCAAAAGAACGAGGAATACTATTTTTGTCTTGACTTGACATCTATAATAGGAGAAAAGAGAATTCAAGTTAGTTGATGTTAATCCTTAATTATTAACCCATAATTTAAATCAAGGCTAGGATCCATATTTTCGATTCGAACTTTGAAGAGGGATGCCGTAATCAAATTCGAATCTCTTTTAGGTAAGTAAGGCTTTTACCAGTTTCAATCTTATGAAACTCCTAGACCTTTTGAGATCCATTGATTATAATCAATGGCATGTTTAATATCAGATTATGCTCTCACTTTTGTGACTATGATTCCGAGGATCACAAACAAGATGTGAATAACCATGCAAATTAGCTTGACACTCTCAATGTCATTTATTATCTCGTTTTAATGTGTCGGTTAACCACACGCGCTCCATTAATCAACGATAATTTTTGAGATACCCACTACCACTCTTTATTAGTCCCCCATTAATGTGTCGGTTAACCACACACGCTCCACTAACGACTTATAAAGTGTAATGTGCAATTTCATGGATTAGCATACAAAGTCACATTTTCCTAAAGTAACCAAGAGTGAGATTATAGTAAATAGTTTAGTTACTTTATTTCATTATACTTATTATGAGATTATGTCATATCAAATCCGTTTGGCTAACGACCCTCCACCACACAGGAGGCGGTGGGTGAGAGTGTACACCCATTCAACGACCATTTTATAGGGCACTTCCTTATACACTCTTTATAGCATGGTTTCTTGAATGAGGCGTACTAGCGATTTAACTGACTTTTTTATACATATAATATATATAAAACTTTTAATTATATATACATAGTATAAGGTGTATTTTAAAACATTTTAAAATAGAAAGGGTTTAATTTTTTAATAAATTAAACTTTTAATGTAATTAAATTTAAACCATTTTATGGATTTATTAATCATCTTTTAATTAATTTCTTAATTAAATTAATAATCAGATCTATAAGGATGTATTTTAAACTTTTCAAAATACTAGGTTTATAATAATTTATAAAATAAACCAAATAATATTTGACATTAATTATTAAGTTTAATTACTATCTGGATTTATTATTTATACACTTAAAAGATTAATCATATTAATCAACAAAACAATTAATCAAGTCAAATACATATACTTAACTTCTAGGCTTTTATTTTATCATCACAAATACACCAAAATCGGATTTGGGGATAAATATAGCAGGTAATTATCACATAAAAGCAGATTAGACAAAAAAAATTTCAAAAATTGGACCTGAGCTAAGCACACGTCGTGAGCATCAATGCTCACGTCGTGAGCTGCGACAAATCCAAAAACAGGTTTCTTTTTCTTTCGACCAATTCACCAATGTGAAAATATATGAAAGAAAGTCATAGGCTCTGATACCACTGATGAGTTATTATGGTTACAACTACAATGCTCTAAGCGGAAAATCATTTAAACAATTAAATGATTAAGGCACATGCAACCTAATAAGGATCTATGTCTTTCACATATATGCAACATACTATGAACTATCTATCTACAATAATTTTCTTATGAAAAGACTAATTCATAAGGATAAAGACTTACCTTGAAGATTATTATAGCAAACAATCTTGATTTCCTTCTTCAAAAACTTTTGGCAGCAAGCACCACAAGTGTCGTGCTACTGATGGTTCACATCCAAACCATAGCAAGCAAGGAACTTAAAGAGACATAGAGAGAGAGAGAGAGAGAGAGAGAGAGGAGACGAGTAGGATTTTTGGCCAGATCTTCTTATGGGAACGAGTCACAAAAATATGAAGGGTATGGCCCTTTATATAGCTGAGTTAGCTTAGTGCCAAAGCCAGGGTTTAATGAGGAAACCCTAATCCATTTTCTTGGTGACCAAGCAACCCATTCCCTCCTAATTCAAGGGCTTGGATGAAAACTCCTTGGGCTTGCCCAAGTGATTTTCATCCACCTCATCCAATGAGGTCCATGGGCTCCTTTCCTCAACTTTCAATAAATAACCAAACAGACCCTGCAGTATCAATTAATCCAAGTAATCCCAAAATTAATTGCAATTAATTTTTGATTAATTATAAATTAAATATTACTATTTCTAATTAATATATTATTCTCATAATATATTAACAAATTATTTATTCTGATTTCTAATTAATTTATTAACCATATAACAAATTAATAAATCAATCTCTCTCTTTAAAAGTTATCCTATTCAATTGCTAGGTTTGAGGGCAACCCAAAAGGACCGTGCTACTATCAATTCAAGTTTATACCAATTATAGTTAATGGATTAGACACCTAATCCAACATAATGATAGTATAGATTCCTCACTAATCCCAATGTCCATATCAAGATCTATCAAGTAAGGAACAACCAAGTAGGATCATATCGGAGGTAGGGTCTGTTTGGTATACAAACTATACTGTTTGAAAATCCAACTTTAAACACCTCACTAAATCCAACCTAGACATCACTCCCGTAAGTAGATCAATAAGTATAATGACTTGAAATCACTAGTAAATCATAATTATAGGTTCATAATAACGACTATGACTATAATTGAAAGTTACACTTAAAATAAATAAGTGTAGCTTGACTTACAGAGTAATTAAACGAAACCGGGAAATATGTGGGTAGAACTCTGAACCGGGAGCTTCTATTCACCAGCTATCTGACACCACAGGGCTCCGCTAAGGTAACCGAGAACTCATGAGTAAAACGGACTAAAAGGACAGGAGGTAATCTCGAGAGAATTAGAGAATAGGTGTGAAGAAATGCTGGAAAACCGCGTCTATTTATAGACAGAAAATAGGTACATGCCGCACAAACTGTCCCCTGCGCATCGCGCATCTGGTCGAACATGATGATGTGTCGTTCAACCACTGGTGTCACGTGTCGCAATTCTATGGGTTGTCAGATGCGTGTCGCGCATCTTGTCGATGCGCGCGGCTGCGCAACAAATTTTTTAATTTCTTTAAAAATCCGTATCTTCTTCATACGAGCTCCGTTTTCGAAGGGTTTTATATCCACGCGTATCTATCGACGATATCTACAACTTCCTTTAGACTTCGTCGACTAATTTTTACTTTATTTTTAAAGTTATATTTTTAACAGCCTTAGATTATTAAAGTCCGTTAAAAATTCATAACTCTCTCGTACGACGTCTGTTTTCGACTGTCTTTATATTAAAGGATAGGTATGACGAGATCTTCAACTCTCATTTAAGTTGTTTTTCCTAACGATCGACCGATCTAAATTTCGGTTTCTGAGCCGTATACTACTACGCTGAAACTTCGAAAAATCATAACTTCCTCTTACGAAGTCAGATTTAGGCATTCCTTATATGTACAAAATCATTGTCACATACACTTTAACTTTGGTTAATATTATTTATCCTGAATAGTCTTCTATCAAAAAGTCATTTTTAACGCTTAACATATCTTAATCGACTAGCCTAAATCTACGGATGTTAAAAGTATCTCCCCCTTAGGATGATTACGTCCTGAAATCATTAGCAAAACAGGGCTTGCATGACTACAAGTACTCACCTAATCTACTAAGATATAACAAATATGAACACAAAGACTCAGACGAGAAAACCCTAAATAGAGGAAAACCCTAAAAGACAGGTGAGAGAGAAAACTGAGAGCTAGTATGTGTAAAAATGATGGTATATATGAAAACAACATACACGTCTCACATATATACTTTGAGTTTAAACATGTACCAAGTTTGGGTAAAATCCACCTAAGAACAGTTAGGTAAAACCTGCATACAACATAAGTTTCTTCAATAGTGAGCCGCAGTCCATGTTTATACCAATATTAGCAAGAACAGTCCTCTTGCACAAAAACTTAACAACTATAACTTTACCATAAACAAAATATAACAAATCAAGGAGACGATAAAAGAATATGAATTAATCTTCCAATGATAAGTTTGTACACTGTCATTATTCTCAACACCCCCACCCCTCAAAGTAATCATTGGATAACCAACAATTTTCTTGAAAAGGATCTATAAGCCCTGTTTGCTTACGCAAAATAGAATGATGTACATATTCCAAAGACTTAGTAAAAACATCAGCAATGTTATGATCTGAATCAACCTTTAAAACTTGAACAATACCTTTAGAAGCTCTATCTCGAATAAAATGAGTATCTACCTCAAAATGCTTTGTTTTCTCATGAAATACAATATTCAATACCAGCTTTATAGTTGACTCATTATCACATAATACTGGAACATGAATCAAATCTTTAATTCCAAGATCAAAATTTCAGCTAACTCGTCACACAAGTTAAACTATAATTGATTCATCCTTATACGAAAATATTAGGCGTATTCATCATCATATGTTTAGCTAAATCGCCACACAAGTCGACAAGAAAGTTTCTAAGACAAGTAAACTTGTGTGACGAGGAAGCTATGTGCATGAGAACGAATATGAATGGATCTAACATAAATAAATGAGCAGTTGCTTTACTAATTTGTAACATATAAAGAACTTTAAATATTTAGGTTACATACTCATAGTGAAATAAACAAAAACAAATTCAAGTCACACACTTAATTAAAACAAACAGCAACATAATGAAATCAAACACATTTTGCATCTTAACAACTTATTACACGTTTTTTTATTCGTTGTCTCGCATTTCCTTTGAACTTCTAATTGATTTTGAGTGATTCAATGAAGCTTTTTCCATCAGTGATGTCATTGCTTGAGAGAAAATTGAGAAAATCCCTGAAACTGCTTTCCTTATAATTTTTAGGATGTTCATCTGTAATAAGTTTTTCAGCAGTTTCCATTTTCTCATCAATCCCCATGCTATGGAGACTTGCAATGGAAACCCTAGTCTTCTCATTGTTGACTGTAACCCTATGCACCATGCTTTTGTATAATCCATTGCTAAGTACCTCCACATGGTCACCTATGTGGACTTGGAGGGCCCCGTGTACATCAGGAACCAATCGCCATGTGCCATCTGTAGCATCCATGATCTCAAGTCCACATGAACTATGAAGAACTATGGTAATGCAACTGTAATCCGAATGAGGTGGCAACCCTAATGCAAGATGTGGTTCAGGGCATTTTGGGTAGCAATTAACTGCTAGCACTTGCATCCCATCTTCCATTTTGCTTTCAAGATATTTTGGGCCAATCCCAAGGCTTTCAGTTATGGCTCCTATTATCTTAATTGCTAAAAGTCTTGTTTTCATAGCATAATCTCCCGTCTTTTCTCTACATATCCAAACATACCAAAAGTATTAGACGTGATATTGTCATATATGATTAGAGGACAAAAATAGCAATTTATCATGTTTCTATATGAAACATAAAATTATTTCCATACCACATATAAAGTATAAATACTTATACAATATATAAAGTATAAATACATATACAATATAAAATGATGATACATATATGTTTTTCAATGTCCACCCTATATATGATCGACTATGATACCTCAACACGTGTGCTACAAGTTCCGATAGATCTTAAAGTACATGATTTCTAAACTGTCGTCAAATAATAAATATTGTCGGTGGATGACAAGATATCGTTATTCACGTGATGAAAATATTAAACAAGAGACACCAATAGTCCAACACGTCATGTCAAAAACACTTTTTGCATACGTATATTCTGACGAGCTCTGATGAGCGAAATTGTCGTCACACATTTTAATGAGTTTCGACGTACCCTTCTGCATATGTATACAATACAAATTGAAGCCTAGTTATTTTAAGGTTTTTAAAGCTCTCACCAATTAAAACTTACACTAAAAAAATAATTATAAGCTCATCAAAAGCATAATGTATATAAGCTATATGATCTTTTTGGAAAAATATTACCTAGAAATTGGAAACCAAATATGATGAGTACAAAATTGCACATATTCGTAAATGTAAGGGTGTAGGTGATGCCACGTCCAAAAAGGGAAAAGTGGTAATTTTTTTTGACGCTAAAATTATGTAGGGATAAAAACAAAGCTTACATTTTTTTAGTAACAAGACTCAAACTCAACACATTTGGATCATGAAATTTTTTGGAGGGTTTCCTGTTTACTATTTTAGGGTCCAACTACTTTTGGACTCAGGGTAAAAAGACGATATTAGACGCCCATGAAACTTGTGATGATGATCTCAATCAAGTGGGGTCTGTTGTAGAAGCTCAAAATAATTTGAATACTCACATAAATATATTATAGTGATATATTAAGTCAAGTGGAATCTGTTTCAGATATAGGTTTGAATTTGGGTTAAGACAGTAACAAAATATATAAAAGAAATTAAAATTTAAGATTTGTTAATCATATATAATTAAAAAAGTACTTATTACTAATATATTATTTTCTATAACTATATTAATTATATCATTTAAGTCAACTCTCATTTGATCCAACTAATTAAATTTAATTAATTAAGTAGTATCATCTTTGTTTTGCCATGGCCAATAAAAAACAGACTATTATTATATTAGAATCAGAAGTTACCAATAGATGTTATACTTATTTTTGATGGTCTAAGAGACTAAGACAAAAACATTACATTTATTTGAAACAAAACTTGGTACATTAATTTCTTCCTTATCATCAATAAATAGAAAATCTTATAACCATGATCTCGGTCCATATTGTTGACATATATATGTTGTCTGTTTTATTGAATGTCTTTAATTTATTTTAAATGGTTAAGTGTTTTATGAAAACGTGTATATTTATACTTTATATTTTAAAATGAATACATCTAACAACGGTGTAAAAGTTGAATGTAAATATACACAAAGACAAATGAAATATATGTTAGGTAAGAGAGATGTTGCCTGTATTCGGGTGGGTTACTAGGCCATTGTTCGATCCATTCACTCAGAGGATGAGCATACAGTTTAAGAAAAACCCTCCAGAACTGAATTTTGTCCTCTCCATCCTTTATGCTAGTCCCATAACGAACTGGTTTGTGGACATCATTCGACATGTATTTTTCCTTCTCGTTTGTTGGTAAGTTAAAGAAGTTGAATGCAGTTTCTACTGCATTGTTGAGCACCATTTCTGGTATCCCATGGTTGATTATCTTTAGGAACAAGAAGAGAATAATTTAACAAAAAAAAAAACACTTGCAAATAGATATGTAAAAATAGATATGTAAGACTATATTTGTCAAACTAACTCTTATAAAAAATAATGTTTTGTAAAATTCACTGATAACTAATAAAAAATTGGCATAAAATGATACGTAGAAGATTGAGTTTTTTATAACTAATAAATAGTATACTTATGAGAATTAAAAAAAAATTCAATAAACTTGTTAAAACGCTAGTATGAGTAATTTTTAGAAAGTTGGTTTATAAAAAACTTTTTGGGTTTTACAAACATAACAACCTAAAAAAAGTCAAAAAAACAAGTCAGTTGTGTTGTACCAAACATAACCTAATATGACACGAAAATCAAAAAATGGTGTTAAAAAAACTCACTTGAAAAAACCCAGTCTCACGACAAGCATTTCCGATTTCTTTCACAATTATGGGTCGCTTAAGAGGATCGTCAAGTCCCGCCAAGTCAATAAGCACCACATCCGCAATTTCAGGGTTCAAACTAGCTCTATTTGTTGGTGAGATTTCATACGATTTAGGAACATTCAATGAGCTTGTTTCTTGTGGTGTTTCACCTATGGGGAATGCCTTGTTCTTGTCATGATCGCTACTTTCCATCTTAAAAAGAAGTGAATGAAAGAAAATTGTCTATGAGTAATTGAGTAGAATGGGTTAATGCTACGAAAAGAACTACATGGCTATTTATAGGTTTCTCAATGTGTTGAAGTATTGGCATTCTAAATATAGATTTAACAATGATGCCATATATAGAAACATTATAAAGATGGTGACAATAGTATAAAGTTGTACTTCGTAGGATATGAACATCAAATATTTTTAATTTATGGGAATACTTCCAAAATCAATGAGTTCCCGGCGCCGATATCAAACAAGTTGTGTTAGGGGAGCAATGTATCCAACATTTTTTGTTTAATAGAACATTGTAGAATTATTCCAGAAGAATTGGCATTTTTTTATATTTATTTCGTCATTGTTTTTAAATGGTATTTGAATTGTAAGTTCACTTGTAAGCAATTCTTTTAACATGTATGAGTTACATAAAGGACATTAATTAGTTAGACCTGCAATCCGTGGATACGTGTTGTGTATACGTGTCAGACACAAATTTACACGATACGAACACGAACACGACACGAATTGTAAAACGTGTCATATCAAATACAAACACGGCACGTAACAAATTCGTGTGACACATGACATGAAACGAATATACACATTTTTAACCATGTTACATGAATTTAAACGAATAAAAACGTTTTACTTGTAAGACACATATTTGTTTATATGTGTCACATGTCGACACTAAAAAACACAAATTTATATGAATATAAGTGTTTATATGTGTCACGTGTCGACACAAATTTGTTTCGTGTCTTATACGTATTTAAACAGGTAAATTCACGAAACACGAATTTAAAGATACATGTCATTAAACGCAAAACATGAATTTCTAAAACACATACAAGAAAAACTCGTACCACGTATCAAATTGCCGGTCTAATTTTAGTCTTTGCATTTGTAGATCTTTTATTCAAAGGTATTTAGAATTTTTAATTATTTACCAAAATATGTAGGTTTTTTTTTTAAATAAAAGGTAGACAAAAATACAGATTTTTGTAAGTGATTTGTGTTTTATATGGTTGACAATTTAGTCTCAAAATGAATATATACATGCATTTACTAATAAGATATCTTAAATACAGTATTTATTAGTAAAATCAGAATTGTTAAAAAAAAAATTAATAAGAAAAAAAATATACAAACCAGCTTTTACATACGAAGCGGTTCCGAAGTGTTGGGGATTGCGATTTGAGTGGTTTTGTGCGCGTGGGGAAAGTTTTTTTTGGTGTATATTAGCCTAAAATTCCGTAAATTGCAAACGGCACCCCTCAACTTGATTCAGTTTTTCTTTGACCCGATCTTTACATATGTCACTTTCACGAGGGGTTACTTATTTTCTCTCACAACTTGACTCACATCATATATCGGATCAGCAAATGTGTTCCGTTTTAGAATGTCGTCACTTAATGTTACTGATTTCTGGAAATATCTGATTGTTTTATTGATTCAATTTATAATATTAACATCGAATCAAATTGAGTTGTGTATCTTTATTTTTGTTAATTAATGAGATAATATGTATCTAAGAAACACATAATTCTTCAGAATGTAACAAACACAATACGAATATAAAACTACAAATAGGTAATCCAATAATTAATTTGGTCTTGTTAACACTAGTATTGGGTGGCGGCGGTGGTATTGGTGATGGTGGCGATGGCGAAGCGGGGATGTGCTCAGGGGCGGACCCATGAATACATAGTAGGTGTTGTCGATACAAAATATGTGTTGTCGATACATGAAAAATAGGAAAAAATAATCGAATTTTTTTCCAATGCGGACAGAAAAAACAGGTGTTGTCGGTGCCACACGGGGACCTGCCTAAAACCGTCCCTGGATGTAGTCTGATGTGACACATAGTCTCTTAGCTTGATTAAGTATACTTTTGAAGTCACAACACATTTATATGTGATCTTTGAATGGTAAGACTCAACTTAGTTTTTCAATGAACTCATTTATCCAATCATATTTGATTACAACTTTTAAAAATAGCAATGTATTCTTATTTTGTAGTATACTGTGCTATTGTGTTTTTTTTACCTCATTCCAACAAAACTTACTCTTTGTTCAATAATGAAGTCAAAATACAATTCTAATTCATAATTATATCTATCTGTTTTGAAGTCAACATCTTGTGTTTCCCTTTACATAAAGATCTTCTTCTAAACTGATTAACTCATATATAGGGCGTGTTCGACAAAATTAGTTGGTAGTGGGTAGCGGATAGCTTGTAGCGGGTAGCGTTTTGTTAAACGCTACGTAAAGTAGCATTTGGATTTGGAGCGTTTTGTTTAAACTAAACGCTAGAAACTTGTAGTGCCAAATAAGGCTTTCTGTTCAAAACAGAGCGTTTTGTCAAACGTTAGAAAATAAAAGCTCTCAAACGCTCCTAAATACTACGTGCCGAACATGCCCATATTCCCTTAGTTCTTCTTAAGTACTCTTAGAATGTTCTTATAGTCATCCAATGACTTACCCGTATATCTAATTGGTATCTTATGATATGTTCGTAGCATGATCATATACCTAGTCTTGTGCATAATATGACATAAATGATGGATTCATTTGTCAAAGCAAATAGAATATAAATCATTTTATCTAGCTCAAACCTATGTTATATGTCCTTTTGAGGCAAATTCAAAATGGTGTCATGTGTCAATGCCAAGAGTCCTCCAAAAGAATCTTGTATCTTGATCTCTTTCAGGATATTGTCAACATATGCATAAAGATTTTAAAATTTTAACATTCTTCTTTATCTATCTCCATAAATTTTACATTCCAAGAATGTATCTTGTATCTCCTAAGTCTTTTATCTTAGAAACACTTTCCGAGTCAAGGCAAAAGAGCCTTGCATAGTCGGAATGTAATCTCTTATTATTAAGTATATTTCATTCATACAAGATTAGGAATATCACTATTGCTCCTACTAGTTCTTAGTAAACACAAATGTTATCTTCAATTTGATATAAAGGCATACCTTGTGTTTTCATATTAAAATGATGATTTCATCCTTGAGATGTTGCTTTGTATCCACAAATGGATCTTGAGCCTTACATACTTTGTTAGGATAACTTGGATTAAGAATACCTCCAAGCTAAGCTATGTATAGACATCTTCAGGTAGGTGTCTATTAAGGAAATCGGTTTTCTTGAAATGTATTTGCCATATCTCATAATCAAAATACATAGTTATGATAAATAATATCTTTGTTGATATAATCATAGCTACTTGAGGAAATGTTTGATCATAGTCATTAAAATGAGTGTGATTAAAGCCTTTAACCACAAGTCTTGCTAAATGTGTATAGATCTCCATGTATGTATTCTTTCTAAAAGAATTACTTACTCCTTCTAGCCTTGTTACATGGAGTAAGATTAATCAAGTACATACTTGATTATTAGACATAGATTACATCTCAATGTTCATGACTCTAAGTTATTTATCAGGTTCAAGATCTGATATAACATTTTAGTAGTTGATGGATATTCCAGAAACCATCAAGAAGAACTCATCAATGAGAGATTTTGTATTTCTCATGTTATAGATGATTTCTGCTATATATGCGAACAGTTTTTTGTTTATGAATAACTATTATTCATGTTCAATAATTCCTTGTTGAAACTAGTGCCAACCTTTGCTACGCTAGGCTATGGTTCTTGAGCTACTTCAAGTTCCATGTGTGTAACATCCGATTCCTGATACGTATTTAAATTCAAGAAATGTTGAAATTTACTCTGGGACTCGGCGAGTTGGAGGCCCAACTCGTCGAGTAGATTCGACTGTTGATCGGGGATTTAAGTGACCTACTCGACGAGTAGGAGCTGTTTGGACAAAACCCTAATATTTAGGTTTTGCACCTTATTTAAACAACTTATCCCCTCCTATATCAGCCTCCATCGTTCCTCACACGTCCAGAAGACCTTAAACTGAAATCCTAGCCTTGTTTGAGTGCTCTTAAGCCATTTTTGTGCATTTTTGGTGGTTGTGAAGCTTGAGAATAAGGAAGGAGCTTGGGAGTTCAAGTTGAAGCTAGAAGATCCAGAGATTGTGTTCCATTTCCAGCTCATTTAAGGTAAAAAGCTTCAATCTTGACTTTCCATGTGTTTAATCAACTTAGGGCTTGGATTTTGGTATCTTTAGGGCATTTCTAAGCCATTTTCGGGTTGTGGGGTGTAATGTGGAGATATGGCTTCAAATCTTGGACTTTGGAGGGTTCTCATGGCATAAAGGTACCAACTTTATGGCCATGAGAGACCCATGCATCTTGTAGACCTCCTTTTATGGCTATTTGAGCCAAAGGCCCCATGCATGTACATCAAGTTTGAAGCTTTACGTATAAAATGAACCCTAGGAGGCCAGATCTATGGTTTTGACGCGTTAAGATCCATTATAATCAACTGTATAGTTTTGGACATAGAGGGACTCGGCGAGTCGTTCTTGGAACTCGACGAGGCGGGGTGTATTTTCCACCAAATCCTTTCTGTTTATGGACCAGTTGTTAAGATTGAAGGTTCCCCCAGTTGTTTAGGTTCACTAGGGACCTGGGAATCATAGGACTCGGAGAGTGGATGAACAGACTCAGCGAGTTCAAGGCAATGTCCCAGCCACATGAAGACGGACTCGGCGAGTTCAAAGGGAACTCGGCGAGTCATAGACTAAACATCTTCTTATGGATGAAGATGAACTCGGTGAGTTCAAGGACGAACTCGGCGAGTCGGTTGAAGATTGTCCGATGTGTTGTTGAAGGCGAACTCGTCGAGCTCTTGCTAGACTCGACGAGTAGGGACGTGATTATGGCTTTTTGTGGATATGGGGACTCGACGAGTTGATGGGCCAACTCGGCGAGTCGAGTCAACCAGAAGTTGACTTTGACCATGAATTTGACTTTGACTTTGACGTGGACTGAGTGACCCTTGTAAGGGTTACGCGTATTAGTTGATAACTTAGAAGAGTTGTCGTGTAGGGATTGAGGAGTC